GGGGGGGGGGGGGGGCGGCCAAAATTGTTTTAGCTTGGGCGGCAAAAATCCTAGAGCCGGCCCTGTTTAGGAACTTCTTTCATCATATTTCAGATGTCCCAGATTTTCAGTTCATCTATGTGAAAGTGGCTGTCTACTCAAAATTCACTGAAAGCTGCTCTGAGGTTTTGAATGTAAGCAAAGATGGTCAACAGGCAGAATGCAGGTGAGGATGACTAAAGCATAAAATAAGGCACCAATCTTGAAAACATGCTTATCTTAAGTTTATGCACTGAGTAGTCATACTAAACTCAGGAGTCTGGATCCAAAGTCCTTTGAAGTCAATGGGAGTATTTTCATTAATTTCAATGGGTTGTAAATCAGGTTCTCAGTGCCTGTTTGCAGAATTGAGGCCCAACTGATTTATTTCTATAATAACAAAAATCTAAACATTCGCAGAAGAATACCACAAAAAGGAAATAAGAAATAACTCAGTATTTACTTTTTCTGACATACTATAGGGGGTTTATATTTGTTAAATTAAATTAAAGGCCATCTCACATTATCTCCTGCAGTTACATAATCCTATTCAGATCCAACGGCACAAACACTTGCAGAGTCCCTAGCTTCAATGAGATTCCACATGAGTGGAGGTGTCCATATTAGTGGACCTTAGTGCAGGACTGGGGTCTTACATTGCACTCTACACACTCACAAACTCTTTAAAAAAAACCAACCAAAAACAGAACAGAATTTGTAATGGGAAAGATCTTGAAGAATGTGCACAAATTGCTGCTCATCAGATGGATGCAAATAATTCTAATTTCTTTCCAAATGGTGAATTCAGGGCATATTAAAACAGGAGATACTAAGGTTTGCCATTATTACTCTAAGTTAGCTTGTATAGTTGTACTATAGCAGGAACCAAGGCACTATCATATGAAACTCAAGGGGTGCAGGAATGAACACAGGAGTTTCACTTTCAGTTAACTGTAGGCTGTGCATGTGGAGACGATGACAGTTTTCCAGGAGGAGCATATGACTATGCAATACATAAAGCAGTCTCTGCTGGCCAATTCAGTATCTTTTGTTAACACCATGGATTGGTTTCCAGAGGGAGATAGGGCATGCATATTGTGGATGGAGCAGTTTCAGTGATGAATGGAAAAGGGAATAAAATATGCTAAAACTGTGCTCCTGGGCCATGAGAGGGCAGTCTCAATTCAGTATCACTTTAAATATATGGTATTCAAACAGTGCAATGCAAGATTTTGTGCAATGCAAGAAAAATTTTGAAGCCTGCATTCAAAACAGTAGTGGCTTTCAGCATCCAAACTGCCTTTTTAAAATGCACATTTTGATTAAAAGATTCTGCCTACACATAAACATTTTAGTATACAACATGTTCATTTTTTTAACTACACATATAAAATGTGACACTTTTAAAATACACAGAGTACTCTAAGGAGAAGAAATTTCCAAAATCTTATATAACTGTTTGTCAGGAGGTAAAGGACATGAAAGAAATTTGTTTATGTGTGGGCACTAAAGCTTGTGTTAAAAGAAAAAAGTGTGCCTATATTCAATATGCTCCCCTCCTCCCAAAATCCCCAAACATCTTTTAAACTTTATGAATTGAAAGAGGTGGTGAAAATTGCTGGCAGATTTTGACAGTCCCTGTGATCCCAAATCAATCAGGAGTCACAAAGGCTGAGACACACTTTTAATCACTACATGCAGTTGGCCTCAGTGGAAAGTGGTTATTGAAAAGTCATCTATGAAATAAAAGACTCCCTTTGAAAAAGTAAAGTGTTTCCAATAGATAGGGTTACCATATTTCAACAATCAAAAAAGAGGACGGTGGGAGCCCCGCCCCTGCCCCTCCCACTTCCTGCCCCTGACTGCCCCCCTCAGAACTCCCAACCCCCCTGCTCCTTGTCCCCTGACTGCCCCCTCCTGGGACCCCTGCCCCTAACTGCCCCCCAGGACCCCACCCCCTACCTAAGCCTCCCTGCTCCTTGTCCCCTGACTGCCCCCTCCTGAGACCCCCCCATCCTGACTGCCCCCCTAGGACTCTACCCCCTACCTGTCCCCTGACTGCCCAAAACCTTATCCACACTCCCACCCCCTGGCAGACCCCCGGGACTCCCACACCCCATCCAACCACTCCCCCCCCCCGACAGACCCCCTCCCCAGCACTCCCAACCCATCTAAACCCCCCTGCTCCCTGACCGCTCTGATCCCTCTCCCCACCCCTGCCCCCTGACAGCCCACCCAGAACTCCCAGCCCCCCTGCTCCTTGTCCCCTGACTGCCCCCTCCTGAGACCACCCACATCCTAACTGCCCCCCCCTAGGACCCTACCCCCTACCTGTCCCCTGACTGCCCAAAACCTTATTCACATCCCCACTCCCTAGCAGCCCCCCCCCCAAACTCCTGATCCATCCAACCCTCTCCCTGCTCCCTGTCTCTTGACTGCCCCCTCCAGAACCCCCCTGCCCCTTCTCCGACCCCCTGGCCCCCTTACCGTGCCGCTCAGAACAGCGTGTCGGGCTCCACGCAGAGCCCGACACGCTGCTGTGCTCCCCCATGGAGTGCATAGCCCGGATCCTGCCCTCGCAGAGTGCTGCTGAGCGGCGCGCTGGGCAGCAGGGGAGGGGGAGCAGGGGGAGGAGCTCCAGACTGCTGGAGGCCCGATGTGAATGGCCAGCGATCTGCGAATGCAGGGAGGGGGAGGGGGGAGAGAGAGGAGGGGAGTGATCTGAAGCTGCAGGGGAGAGGAGGGGGGAAGCGGAGGAGGGGCTCTGGCTGCCGGAGCCCCGTGCGAGTGGCTCGATCCGGCTGGCTGCCCTGTCAGCCGTGCCGCGCTCTGCATGGGGGAGGGGGGGAAATCCGGACATTTACAAATCCCCCCGGACGCTATTTTTAAACTCAAAAAGCCGGACATGTCCGGGAGAATCCGGACGAATGGTAACCCTACAATAGACTCATGCATTGTTCTAGTTCACCTACCTTAAAAAAGAATCCACAACACACTTTTTGGTCATCCTCGAATTGTTCTCTATCACTCTCACCTTCATATTTCTCAACAGATACTTCAGCCTTTTCAGGTGGTTTCAAATCTGAGAGGGAAACTTCAATTAGGTTAGCTGTTTTAGGAATCGGTGTTGGCAAAACAGGTTGGCTTAGCTGATCTTCATTTGGGGTGAGGCAGACAGTTTCTGTGATGGGCTGAGATAATACTTCAGAAACCTTACATTCAAAAGGCTTGATCTCCTTTTCCTTCACTTTTTGTTCACATTCTTCCAAAGTACCTTTTTGTTGTTGTTGTTCTTTTGCTCCATCCTCTGTAGTTTTGACTTCTTTCAAAAGATTTCTTTTTAATTGAGGTTCAGAGATACGTTCTCCATCATCTCCAAAACATACAAATGATCTAGTCTGAATGGGAACCTGACTTGGAGAAAATCTTCTCAAACGAGGAAGACTATCCACAGACCGTGGAGCAGTTAAGGTGCGATTAAAAGGTATTATTTTCAGTTCATTTGGCCTAGGAGTCCTTTGCATTTTAACGGGGAAAGAGGCATTCTTCCTATTAGAAGACTGTGGTGATTGATAAGTAGGGCGAGGAGGTTCCAAAGCAAATGGTGCAATAGGAGATGACAGTCCTGTTTGCCTCATTGAAGATTTAAGCTCTCGGATTTGTTTCTGAGGTGAAGGCTGAGGAGGTGAAATAACCCAGGCCTGCTGCTCCCTCATTTGCATCAACATCTCTTGCTGAAGGGATAGGCGTTGCATTTCCTGCTGTAGGACATGTAGAGAAGCATTTAGCTTTTCAATAGATTTTGTATATTCTAAAATATCCCCTTCATTTAAGGTTTCTTCTGCGGGGCTCACTAAGTTCCATTGCTTTTCAGCATCCATAGGTGTATTAGGGGACTTTAACCACTTGGCCTGAGAATTTTCAGCACTTTCCTTTATTACCTCTGCAGTCTTATTAATTTGTTCAACTGGTTTTTGTGTGTCTTTTTCATTCAATCTATTACTATCAGTGAATACTTTTTCATCTTCAGCTCCAGCTGCTTCTTCTCGAAGAGGTGATATTCCATCACCTTTCTTTTTCACTACATTAAGAAATGCTGTCCTTCCCATTTTCTGTCTCTGTTTAGTAAAAGCAGCTTCTACTTTCTTCTTCTGTGCTTCTATGGCTCGCCTCTTTTCCTCCAGCTTCATCCTAAGATGGACCATTTCTGAAGCAAGCAACTGTGTAGTGTCTCTTCCTTGAGGAACAGGTGTTTCCTCAGGTATATGAGTCCAAGCAACAACATGAGGAATATTCAACTCAGAGCCTTCTGGGGTAGTTTTCTGAGAACTGCTTCCACTACTTCTACTATCTGTGTGATTCAGTTTCCTGAATTTCTGCTCTGCAAAGCTGGTCATTTTGACTCCCGAGCTTGAAGAAGCACTGCTGCCAGCTTGCGATTTGGTACTTATTGAGCTTGGACAGGGACTTAATAGCTCTCTGTGGTTGCTAGCTCGTATATCATAATCCTGAAGACATTTAGGTGGGTCTTCCATGTCAGAATCCATGCTTACAGTATAATCTCTCAAAGAAGAATCCTCATCCATAGTTTCTGGAATATCTTCTGAAGGAACATGTATTCCAGTATCCACTTCAGTATTGTCAGTCACAGGACTTAGGGCAACTTTTGTGTCTGTAATGATATCAGGATTAGGCTGATTTAGTTTAATATTTGAATTCAAGATGCTAATTTCCTGGTTATGAAGAAAGAACCCATTTGTAATTTGGTCTGGCTGGATAACAATGGGGGATTTTTCAGTATCATGAATTATCTGCAAAGCCTCTTCAATGCTTGGAGTCTCAATCTGATTGCCAAAATCATCCATAACTACCCTGTTTTGCAGAGCTCCATTTGGAAGCTTGTACTGGCTGTTTTCATTGGCATTCCTTTCATTTGTGTTAAGAGATGCACTGGCCTTTGGGTTGATATGAGATACTATGTCCTTTTCTTCTTCAATATCTTGAGTTTCCTCTTCTCCATTTACTGGCTTGAAGGACAGGTTTTTCCTAATATGTTTGGGCATGCGGTTGATATTTAGCATAAGGCCTTCATTACTAACAGATCTAGTAATTCCTCTGTTTGGAGTAGATGTCTGAATACTGTTTTCGTTATCAAAAGAAATGTCAAATGAAACTCCATGCATCGAAGATCTAAATGGGATTAAAATAAAGAAAGCTGTTAAACAACTCATATTTAATACAATGAACAAACATATATTAATGTGAAAAAACAATCTAAAATTGTAGGGCTACGTGTACTAATGAGATATGATTAGCTTCATTTGCTAGCATTACGAAAATACAAAATTAAATTGAATATAACATCTTATTCAGGCTCATGCTTTTATTGTTTGTTCTAATTGCTTGTATTAAATTATAACGACATGTATGCTTGTATTTTCATATGAAAAATATGCTTATTCATTTTGGGTAACTTCAGAGGGAAAATAATAATATTCCTGCCAATCTTGTAATACAATTAAGGAATTTTAGGAATATAGGAACTGGTCATACTGAAACACATTAGTGGTCCATGTAATCCAGCATCCTTCCTTTCTGACAGCAGCCAGTACCAGATACATCAAAGGAAAGTACAAGAAGCCATACAGTGATGGTTTATACCTACAACGTAAGAGTTTATATCGCCTCTATTTTGTTCTAAAATCCTCTCTCATCAGCCTATTCTCATTATCCATAGAAAAGTACCTTTTAAAAAAAATCCTACTCAGCTCCTGATCTCAATGACTTCTATTGGCACTTCAAGTATATTGCGTGCAGACAAATATATTTAACATCACCAGTTATAATATGAAATATTGGAGCACCCCAATGTTAACCTTTCACCAGGTTGAAAAATTGACCAATGATTCCTATGTTTTCTTTTCTATTAGCTAGTTTCTACTCAATGATATTGCTTTACCTCTTACTCTGCGATGACTTGGGTTTACTTAAAAGCCTCCTGTCAAAGGCTTTTTGAAAGTCCAAATTATGTTAAATATAGTTCAGTATTGTTTAGTGGCTGATCCATAGTTACTTCTTAAACCAGCTTCTACGTAATGATGACTTACCTTTTCTCTTTGGGCCAAGTCCCTACATATCCATCCACATAAGACATAGATGTGGATCTTCTAATGACTCCTAATTGGAATTAAAATAGAATATAATGTAACTAAGTTACAACTTATGGAAATACTTGGAAAATCATTTTAAAATAAAAAAGTTAGTTCAGCAAATCAGTTGCTTTCATTGTTTTGAATATTTCAATGGTAAATTATCAAATTTTTGGAGGTTTTTTGTTTTTATGTAAAATGATCTTTATTTTCATGTAAACAAGAGTATGGCAATCATATACATGAATTATATCATATGCACACAGTACCCATCACTCAGTAAAGAGATAAAGGTAAATTTATTACTGAATACAATATTAATTATGTTATAAATAACTGTTGAAAGCCATATTCCACTTAGAGTGGAAACCAAACTTCATAAAACGTATACAGCCAGTAAGTCTTTACAAAAACCACTGTCTTGAGTGTGTGCTTATCACAAGAAGTTATAGACCCAACCTTGTAAGCTATCCATGTGTGGATCTCCCACGGAAGTCAATGGGAGTTCTGCAACAAGATATCCGGCAAGAGTATCAACAAAACAAGATAGATAATATTTTATCCAAAAAACCCAGTGCTATGCTGTTACCTGGAGCAGCTGAATAAGGCTGATAGTGTGTATGCCTAACAGGCACAAGTTGATGAGATGGTGTAAAAGTTGGACCCTCCACACTGTAAAGCAAAAAAAAGTAATAGAGGCCACATTAGAAGAATGCAGCCAAACTTTGTATATTAGGACAGTACAAGAAGTAATTTATTTTTTGTGTGAACGAATACAGCCGAATGTAATTTTGCTTTTGAAATATTATTAATTTATTTAAAAAAAAGTACAAGCATATTAATTACCACCACTAGAGCCAAAAGAAACCTGCACAGAAATTAAGTTTCTGTAGTTTTCAGAAATGTCTACTGAAAATGTTTGTTTTACCAACAAACATCTGTCTTTTCACTTATTCCATGCTAATGTTCTTCGCATGAAGGTCACTTCTTTAGGTTTGATCTTGGCAACACACACTACAGCACATAATGTAAAGGTAGAGGTTTCCTGATGTCCACAGCATACAGTGGCCTGGTCTACACTACAAACTTAGGCGAACATAAACTGCATTAAGTTGATCTAATAATCATAGAATCATAGAATATCAGGGCTGGAAGGGACCTCAGGAGGTCATCTAGTCCAACCCCCTGCTCAAAGCAGGACCTAATCCCAACTAAATCATCCCAGCCAGGACTTTGTCAAGCCTGACCTTAAAAACCTCTAAGGAAGGAGATTCCACCACCTCCTAGGTAACCCATTCCAATGTAGGTGTCTACACTACGAGTCCCTTCCGCCAACCTAAGTGGCCTATAAAGTTGACTTCTGTACTCCACCTCCGCAAGAGATGTAGCACTTGATTTCACATCCACAGGTTGACATGGGGATAGTGTAGACACTGCATTGTGTAATTTGAATGAATTGGCCTCCAGGAGGCGTCCCACAGTGCTCTGCTCTGAGCACTCTGGAGAGCACTTTCAATTTCACTGCACATTAGCCAGTTACACAGGAAAGAGCTGCTCCCCTGTTAAAGCCCCTGGAACTTTTGAATTTTCATTTCCTATTTGATCAGCATGGAGAGCTTGCCAGCACTGCTGATCATGGAGACTCAAGGCTGCAAACGCGCTCCAGTATGGAGTACACAGGGGGTGGTGGATCTAATTGCTGTGTGGGGAGAAGAGTCTGTGCAGGCAGAGCTCCGATTCAGCAGAAGAAATGCTGATATCTATGCCAAGACTGCGCAGGGCATGGGGGAGAAGGGCTACAATAGAGACACACAGCAGTGCCGCATGAAAATAAAGGAGCTTTGGCAAGCGGACCAGAAGACAAGGGAGGCCCCACAGACATGCCGCTTTTATGAGGAGCTGCATGTAATTCTCGGTGGTGACCCTGCCACTACCCCAAAACGCTCTGTGGATACTTCCCAGGAGCCCCGGGTGGCATGTCTGTGGAGCAACAATGAGGAGGACATTGTTGAGGAGGAGGAGAATGTTAAGCAGGCAAGCGGAGGATCCATTCTCCCCAACAGCCAAGAACTGTTTTTAACTCTGGAGCCCATCCTCTTACAGGACCAGTTGGTGGTGGAGCGTGACGCCGGGGAAGGCACCTCTGGTGAGTACACATTCCCAATCAAACTGTAGGGGTTACATGCTACTATTTTTTGTGTTTAATCTGAACAAAAAAGCATACTTCAAAACATTTTTTTTATTGTGTTGTGTCAGTTCAACAGAGCTGACATGTAATCTAATTTATTTATATAATGCCTTATTTCAGCCTCCTACGTACTATAGTGATAAGCTCTTTACAAATACCTCTATAGATTTTTGCAACTTGCTTTTTTAATGTAATGCGATACAACAAAAGTTACAACCACTTTTTCATTATTTAATTAAAAAAACACATGACTAGCAATAAGACAAAGACAACCCAGCACCACAGGCACAATCTGCAGCTCTCATGTGATTTTTGCCTAATGTGTAGCGTATACTGGCATCTAAATAACCTTCATGAGAAGGACATTACTGTGAGATAATGAAAAATATGGATGAATAAATAAAGCATTTTCCATGGGTACATAAGAAAATTGAATAAAAATTCCTATTTGATTATTTCTGCAGATTTCTCTAAGCAGTGGATAACTGGCATAGAGGTTTATACCTTTATTTTAGATTTCAGTTAAAAAATGCCTATTCCATACTCCAGTGCCTGTATATTATTTCAAAAAAAAATTTCATTGGGAAAAGATCTGTAAAACATTTTGTCCATCAGAAAGAAAATCCATCTGCTTAAATCCCAATCACATCATCCACTCAAGAAAAGCCTGATGTTGGCACGAGCTATTAATTTTCTAGCATTATAAGCCTAACTCCTTGGGGAGAGGCCATCTATTTATTTACTATGAAGTGCTGTGCACTATTATCATACCAAAGTACTGCATTTGATGATAAAAACAAGAGACCCTACAATTAGATAATCAATTAGTGGGCTCATAATATTCCAACACAAAAACTATACTTAATCTTTACAGAGACAATAAAACTATTGTTGCAATGATGAACTAGAACAATATGCTACCCCATTATATACAATGTTGATGATGGTTTGTACTACAGTTCCGAACAGGTCTCAAGAAACAGATCCTACTACAAGTTCAGCATGTGTGTCAAGGCACCTATCTGGGGCAGCTTACAGGCAATACTTAACTCTGAAGTCCTAATGATAGTAATAAAAGTAAAGCCCTTTAAGATCTGAGATCTCTAGGGGCCTTCTACAAATGGAATTCAAATGTCTATCTTAGAGATTCCAATCTATCCTCTTCACTATGGAAGCCAAAATCATCTACACAGATTCTCTTCTTATCCAATGTGGGGAATTCTGTTTGGTGTAACAAAGGTGCTTATGTCATTGAAGAACTCTGTCAGAGTGAAGATAAATCCCTTATGAAGGGCTTCAACTCTTGTTTTTTTATAACTGCAAGCTATATACTTCCTTCTCTTTGCTATTGATTCAGTTTTAAGCTAACATTTTCTTTAAAATATAATGTAAATAAAGTTGCCTCCACATTAATATACAGTAGCACAAAGCTCAATATTTTAAGTATAAGTGAAGCCATTTGCTGTCTTTTATGGAATTTATAAAGGACATCCCTGACCAGGGCTCCAATTCTTATCTCATTTATACTGGATATACACTGGTGTAGCCCCATTGTCTTTAGGGGAATAGCTCCTGATTTACATCAGTGTAAGTGAGAGGAGAATCAGGCCCTACCACCTAATGGTAGTAGGAAATATCATTCCTTGCTTGACAGGTTTCTCTATTCTATCTCTCAGAAGAGACTGAACATGATTAACCAGGTTAGCTAAATAAAAAGAATATACCAAATAGCCAATTAAAATGCTAATTTTATCCTCCTTCTGTGCTCCAAAGTCATAATCAATAAACCCATATTGAAATGTGACTGTCATACAACACATATTCCACTTCTGTTCAACTGAAGGCCTTCTCTGGCTCTATCAAACGAAAGATTAAGCAGGGATAAGGTAAACTTCTCCACAATATCTATTGTACTGTAGCAAGAGAACAAAATGAAAAGAAGACATACACTGACTCCACAATTGTAACTCAACTTAACTGGCAGACTAAAGTCAAAATAAATTTAAAGTTTTTAATTAGGGCTGTCAAACGATTAAAAAAATTAATCACGATTAATCGCACTGTTAAACAACAATGGAATACCATTTATTTTATATATTTTTGGATGTTTACTACATTTTCAAATATATTAATTTCAGTTACAACAAAGTGTATAGTGCTCACTTTATATTTATTTTTTATTACAAAATTTGCACTGTAAAAAACAAAAAAAATGTATTTTTCAATTCACCTCATACAAGTATTGTAGTGCAATCTCTTTATCATGAAAGTTGAACTTACAAATGTAGAATTATGTAAAAAAAAACTGCATTCAAAAATAAAACAATGTAAAATTTTAGAGCCTACAAGTCCACTCAGTCCTACTTCTTGGTCAGCCAATCACTCAGACAAACAAGGTTGGTTACAATTTGCAGGAGATAATGCTTTTTGCTTCTTGTTTACAATGTCACCTGAAAGTGAGAACAGGTGTTCATATGGCACTGTTGTAGCTGGCGTTGCAAGATATTTATGTGCCAGAGGCGCTAAAGATTCATATGTCCCTTCATGCTTCAACCACCATTCCAGAGGACATGCTTCCATGCTGATGATAGGTTCTGCTTGATAATGATCCAAAGCAGTGTGGACTGATGCATGTTCATTTTCATCATCTGAGTCAGATGCCACCAGCAGAAGGTTCATTTTCTTTTTTGGTGGTTTGGGTTCTGTACTTTCTACATCAGAGTGTTGCTCTTTTAAGACTGCTGAAAGCATGTTCCACACATCGTCCCTCTCAGATTTTGGACAGCACTTCAAATTCTTAAACCTTGGGTCGAGTGCTGTAGCTATTTTTAGAAATCTCACATCGGTACCTTCTTTGCATTTTGTCAAATCTGCTGTCAAAAATGTTCTTAAAACGAACATGTGCTGGGTCTTCAGCCAAGACTGCATAACATGAAATATATGTAGAATGCGGGTAAAACAGAGCAGGAGACATATAGTTCTCCCCCCAAGGAGTACAGTCACAAATTTAATTGACACTTTTTTTTTTTAACGAGCATCATCAGCATGGAAGCATGTCCTCTGGAATGGTGGGCAAAGCATGGAAGGGGCATACGAATGCTTAGCATATCTGGCATGTAAATACCTTGCAACGCTGGCTACAAAAGTGCCATATGAATGCCTGTTCTCACTTTCAGGTGACATTGTAAATAAGAAGCAGGCAGCTGTATCTCCCGTCAATGTAAACAAACTTGTTTCTCTTAGCGATTGGCAGAATAAGTCGTAGGACTGAGTGGACTTGTAGGCTCTAAAGTTTTACACTGTTTTGTTTTTGAGTGCAGTTATGTAACCAAAGAAAAATCTGCATTTGTAAGTTACACTTTCACAATAAAAAGATTGCACTTCAGTACTTGTATGGGTTTAATTAAAAATACTATTGATTTTGTTTATCATTTTTACAGTGCATATATTTGTAATAAAAAATAATAATATAAAGTGAGCACTGTGCACTTTGTATTCTGTGTTGTAATTTAAATCAATATTGAAAATGTAGAAAAACATCCAAAAATATTTAATAAATTTCAATTGGTATTCTATTGTTATAAGTGCGATTAATCGCGATTCATTTTTTAATCATGATTCATTTTTTTTAGTTAATCGCGTGAGTTAACTGAAATTGACAGCCCTATTTTTAATATAAACAAAACCAAAACCTATTTAAGTGTATTCACTACTCTGGACTCCCACTGGTTTCATAATTAAGGATTTCCTCATAATAAACTATGCCACATTTTGATTTTTCCCTCAGTTAAGATTTCATGACCATAAGCGCTAGTATAAAGATGTGCCACTGAGAGATCAGCATTTGGTCTTTTCTGTATTTTTCCTTTCACTTCACTTTCTTTATAAACTTTAGAAATAGTCACTCTGGATTTCAGGAAAACAAGCTCTTTTCTTGGCCTCACATATGCTGAACAAAGTTTAACATAGTTCAACAATGGCTGCCAGCCAGAAAAAGTCATACCTGGGATTTTCTCCCAATTTCTTCAGTCATCGTAATTTCTGTGTGTGATATTAAGAGTCTAAATCCCCTTCTGCTATAATTAATCTACCTAACACCAGAGGAAGCATTATAAATGTTTTTTTAAAGGCACCCATCACCACAATATCTAGGTGCACTACCAGTATGACAAGGAAAAGGTTTTATTCTTTTTCCATCTCCAAGAATGTGATCTCTAGTACTTCAAGAGGCTCTTCCATCGAGGCATTCATTTCTCTGCTTTGAATGGCTAGTTCTAAGTAACTATTTTAAATGCAGATATTGCAAGAATACTAAAAAGCAACAAAACAAATAACTGATTATTTTACATAGCAGCTTAAATAGGATTACTGGGATAGGCTGTGAAGCCTGATAACATAGATTCAAGTTTTGGGGCTGCTGGAGGTGAAAACACTGACTGGTTTGAATGTTGAATCTCCAGATTCAAGGGTTCCTTGTGGTGCAGTATGTTAGTGCACTGGTGACAGAATTCAAATCCTCTATATTGTAGATCACAAGCAAATCAGAGTTTATTATTTCCATTCTAGTCTCCACTGTACAGATGGTGATAAATTGCAATCTCTCTGAATGGGCCAATCCTGTGAGGTGCTAAGTAGATTCAGTTCCCTCTGACTTAAATGAGAGTTGAGTGCCTTCATGACTTGCAGGACTGAGAGATTGTGAGAAAGTGAAGTCCAGAACTGGAAATGCAGATAATGAATCCCATTGCTAAGGCACACTGTCAGAGCTATGTGGGGCAGGCTTCCACAATACAAGCAATTCTGGTTCTAGCCAGAACTATTGGTCTTGCACTTTCATAACTAAATTTATTTTCAGAATTTAACAAGGTTTCTCAATCTTTTCATATGTATTCTTACACAGAATGAAAAGGAATCAATGGGACCAGGTTCAGAAAATTCTATAATAGTTGTTAGCAGTCTTTTGCTTTATGTTTATGGAATCATGTATGAGAAATATGGCTTCCCCTATTATTTGGTAATACACCCTCTGGACATTTCTAGAAAGGGCATCAGAAAATATACAAATATTTGTGCTTGATTTGAGTGGAATGGGGGAGAAATGTAAAACGGTACTAAAGAGACTGATATTACCTGGCTATAAAGTCAGAACCACGTGAACTATCCATATAATTTCTTCTATTAGCATTCAAAATAGGAACAGAAGATGCATCTTTCACAGGTTCAGCTGCAATAGAAGACAAAACCTCCACATTATTTTAGTTTATCATGCAGTTCAAAACCTTATCAACAAAGCTGGTTGAAATATTTTGAAGTAATTTTTATTCCATAAGCTTACACAACCAATATTTTAATTTAATTTTTTCAATGGAAAGTGTTCATTATTTTCTTAGCCCCTCTTCTGTCCCCTTTTCCCCATTTTGCCACTGAACAGATGGAGAGGAAGAATAAGAGGAACAAAGAAAGGCTGATAAATCAAAAAAAATGAAAAAGCCACCAAGTATTTTGTTTTCTGAGGAAAATTTCAAGAGGAAAAAATGATTTTTGTAAGTTTCTCATTTTGAAATATTTGGGCTACATCTTAACTTATTTAGCACCATTTTAAATTATTATTTTTTTCTAGATGTTTTATTATACAATATGTGCATGAAAAAATCTTAAGGCAGTAAAAGCCTACACAACAGAACTGTGATCCCAGGTGTCAGTGCTGAGACCATGGTACTATAGCACATAATTCTTGCCTTGCCTCAACAGCCTCTAAAAGGTCTGCCTGAGAGGCAGATTTATCAATCTGAAAAATTGCTGAAGAAAGATTGTGCCTGAAATGATTTTTGCTATGCAGGTGCACAGTTTTGTCATTCTTCCCTGTAGTTGTTTGGTCTGTTCACCATCCTGCCCTGAGTTCTTTCACTTTTGTGTCTCATTCTCACCAATAAAATATTATATGGGTCAAATTCTGCCCTCAGGTATGTCTACAAAATCTCACTGCCTTTACAGGGTTTTCACAGATATAAGTGAGTGGAATTTAAGGCTTATCTAGATTATACCAATGTAGTTACAGCCAGGCAAATCTTCCTAGTCTAGAAAAGAATTTAATCAACATGTCTGTTGATGATGTATGAGAAGGAAGAGGAATCTGCCTCTCAGCTTTGTTGATTCCTGAGAAATGCATTCAAATTTCATACAAGGAAGGTTTCCTGTTTACATGGTCACTTTCCAGCTCTTTAAGGGGCTGGTCTGTAGCCAAGCTCTGTGAATTGAATTGTAGATTAAATCTGTTTACACTATAGAAACCTGAACTCTATGGGGCTTGTACAGCACTAGTTAACATGAAATCAAAAACAAATACTTTGTTACCTTGGGGATTAATGACAACACGAGGCTGTACAAATGATGGCTTCACCACTTCAAACCACCAGAAAAGTTCTGCCATGAACACCAAATAATTACTCTACAAGAAATCAAGGAAATTTAGGTAAAGATAAAACCATACAAATCTTAATCCTAAATAAAATAATCATATAACATTCAGAAGAGGTATCCATATTTTGTCCAGTCTTCATTTCCAAATCTGTTAAACTACTTAGATGGTCAGATTAGCAGTGTATATGTATATATGTATCATAGGCTGGCAGCACAACCTATTATTAAGGTTGCCTGACACTTCCCATTATAAGATTCTGCTTATAACTTTACCAGACTCGGTCTGGATTGAATTTTTCCATGCTGTGTGTTTGCCTCAGGCTGAATTTTACTGGAAAATTTCAGCCAAAACAGTTCTCAGCCATTTCTGAGAATGAGACTATTGAAAAATATTTTGTTTTGCCCATGTTAAAAAATTCTGGTGACTTTTTATTTGGACCTCTCTAGCGCCTTCGTTCCTGAAGCAAGGATTTGAAAATTGGCAGGTGGTGGTCTTTGTGTCAGGGATGTGCCTTTTGGTTTCTCCATGAAATTCCACTCAATTTTGGCCAAGTTACAGGCTTTTTGAAAAATCACTGTTAGCACATGCTGATTAGAGACTTGCTAGAGTGTTGCAGCTAAAAACTCTGAAGATTCCATCTACACTGGGGAATGCTGAAGTTTAAGAATGAGCAGAATATTCCCTGCAACTGCAGATTGGGCCTGCTGCAAGCATGTGCTTGGACTGGGCACTGGAACATTGAGCAGAGAGCTTGTCAATTTTGTGCTCTCAATGACACCCCTCCCCCACGCCCCCCGTTGCTGGAGCATAGAAGAGGAAATTGCCTGAATCGAATATGGAGGGGACAAGAGCCACCCTGGAGAGAGCAGTGGGGGAGTTAGATTGGGACAAGGAAGGACACATGGCTGGTGTGGTGGAGAGACTGGGATTGGGAGATGGAGGGGCAGAAGATTCATAGATTTCAAGGCCAGAAGTCACCATTACATAATCTAGTCTGATCTCAGAGGAGACTGGGAACCCGGGAGGGAAATGGAGGTGGAGGTTCTGGGAGCCAGAGATGAGTGGGTGAGATTGAGACTGGATGAGTAGCTGGTGGGAAAGGCTGGGAACCAGTGGGGCAAAAGGAAGGAAGCAGAAAGGGAGAGGGACAACTGAGACTGACTGGGCAAAGAGATTGGGACAAAGAGCTGGGGGAAAGAAGATTGGATGAGGAGCCCAGGGTGGGAGACTGGGAGCCAGTTCGGACAGGGAATGTACCTGGCAGGCAGACGAAGAGAAACAGATTGGACAAGGAGCTGGGATGGGGGCAAACTAGGACTGACAGACAAGGAGACTGGGGACAAAGAGCTGGAGAGAGGAGAAATGAAACTGGGAATAGCTAGACAAAAAGCTCAAGAGTTGGAATTGCGGGTGGAGGGCAGTCAAGCTTGGCAAGGGGAGAGGAAACAAGCAGAAGAGTCTCCTCCAGAGTCTGGAATGGAATCCATGATTTCTGAGTCTGACCATTCCTCTGCTACCAGCAAATCATGAAACACACTGGCAAAGTATCTCATCTTACCCTCCCCCAATGCTGCTCTACACAGATAATGACAACCTACTATTGCTGTTAGTCACTCTATTAGTGGCAGATTTCTGTGCAGTGAATCTAAAGGTTCCAACCTGATGACCCACCTGGGTGTCAACATGATGGCACCTGCTGGAATCTGTTTTCAGTTTGCTTTGTTAAAAAGCTAGGAAATCACAGACACAGCTCTATGTTAAAAGAAATTAAGGTTGTGAAGTCAAGCACTCAAAAGTCATGAAATGCCAGAACTAAGATTATAGAGAAAATAATTTTAAAATAGTTAAAATTTCCATATTTTCCATTTAATTGGAGTGGTAGGATTGTTAATTATAATTTTACAAATGAAATTTAAAAGCACCAGGACCACTCACTGTATGAAATAATAAAAGTGCTACATCTATTAATGAGTTCAACATTTTACCATAAACATAATGCCACTTCACACACAAACCACATAAATGTAATGAGTTTTCAGAGCTTAAAAGGATGCTTTGGGTGTAAATCAGTAAAATCGTTTTTTGAAAATTCTCTTTTGTAAACATTTACATTGTTTTATCTACAGGCAACTTTCAGATAGTTTGTACAAATAAATTTATAGAGCATACTTTGCAAAAAGACTTAGCAAATGTCAATTCATGCATTGCTTTTCTTTTTTCACCATCAATTAATCCATCCATCATACATACATATATATCTGTCATCATATAAACAGACCACAAAAGGTCAGTGTAGGGGGAAAGTGAAGCCATCTTAGTATTTGGGTGCTATGTGAATCTGTAATTTAGGATGATTATTCTTATGTTCTTTTGGTATTAATTTCTGAGAAGCATCATAGCGCACTGGTTGCAACCCTGCAACCATATAGGTATATCACATGATAGTGTACCTAATTTCTTGTTTGGGACTTTTTTGCGGGGTTTTTGGTTAATACCTACTGCAGAGTGAAGATAAAGAGGAGCGCTGCTTTCTTGGTTGATAACTTTCAGACACAACACTGGATTATTATTTTTAACTATTATAGCTAAAAGGAATTGTGTGCCCAAATGCTCAATCCAGCACCACTGGAGTCAATGGGAGTTCAGTGGCAGGAGTATTTTATTATTATTATTAACAGCACCAAGTTCTCCCTTTTTTGGGCCTCAAATCCTCAATTCTCTAGAACACTTTTCATTCTAGTTTTATCCTTTCATTTTTGCTACCGCTCCAACTTTTTGAGTCAGGCACATAACCCTAGTCTGCTGATTCCCAAGCCTTTGACAGAAACATTTTACAGATCAGTGCGAGTTCCACTACAATAAATTGTACTTTGGGGAATATAATTGTAGCATCAGACACTATGAGTAACTATTTCTACCGTGTCTTTTGTAGAACTACCACATTCCACAGACAGTACTTTTACCATGGCTGGCTGTTTGTATGTAAGTAAACCAAAGGTTAAGATAGGTTCAAAAGCAAAATTTTCTTTACAGGTAACGTCTAGTCTATAAATCCTGGGTAAAATTTTCAAAAGTGCCTAAGAGAATATCTTAGACATGAGAATATTGTAAAGAAAACAATTCAAATACAAAAGCATCTAACAGCATATGGGACAGCCTATCTCACCACCTGGCAGTTGAATTTAAAAGGACTGGTAGCTTGATTTTTCAATTTTGAATACCCTTGGCTTCATGGTTTTGGGGATCAATGTGAAAATCTCATGCGGTGACCCCATGGCTTCTTTAACTTGGGTTGTGGTAAAGTGAACGAGAAGGAGAACATCACGAGTGATCTGGTGTGGCATATGGAAGAATGCACATATTGATATTTGAGATCCTTCTCTGACAGTTCCAGGTATTAAGACAGCCTCACGACAAATCAAGCTTAATAAACAGTCCATTTTTTGTACAGTATATTAACAAAACTGAAGGTAGTCTGTTAGTATAGAACTACATCAGGAAAATATGAAATTATAGCTGCTGCCTTATCTTCCAGCACCTGGGACAAAATATGACTTCTGATGCTTATTAACATAAAAATAAGCAGCATCCTCATACTCTCCCAGATACAGTTTAATAGCTGCAGTTGAAAGTTGACACATCATTCAAACCATATGGAGAAAGACATGTTAACTTAATGGTACATTCAAACTGTTTAAAGTTGTTTCAGGATATATCTTTACCGCAGAACTAACTTGGGCTCTTATTTGGGTGTTGTCCCTAACTTTGCTCCCACCCACACATAAAAACCTCTGTCCTGAGTTTGGGCGTGATTTTAATCCAGACTAGCCATCTTATCTGGGGCTATAGGCTAAAGCCCAAGTGCTGCTTTCACTCGAACTAGTAACCTGCACATTTTGCAATGAGGATGCAGGCTAAATCACTTGAATGTTGACAGTCCTCCGAAGCATCCCACAATTCCCCCCATGAGTGCAGAAGGACAGACAAGTTATCCCACTATTTATCAGAAATAAATTATACAGTGACTCACCTTACTAAAGACCACTGGATATATCCAGAAGTCCTAGCAACACACACAAGTAAGTGCAGCTATTAATAGTAAGGACAGAGTAACTAGTGGCTGCTCACAACCCGGGGTAGGAAAACCCAATGCTCAGATTTGGGAGCTGATCACATGTGCTTAAACTGAAAGCTGTTCATACACCTCACAGAATAAAAAGGTTTAGTGGCCAACAGCTGATCCGGATGTTGTCATAGTTATGGAATACAAACTACAAATATTATTAGAAAAAAGCCCTGCCTTTCCATTCAGCATGATAATTAAATGAGGGAAAAATTATACTGAAATCTTTTCCATTGAAGAAAAGTGTTCTATTCAGCAATTCTGGTTTAGTATAGGGTATCTTTTGGACTATAACACATATTAGAGGAAAAAATCAGACCTGAGTTTCAAAATAAATATGATTTTCTTACTGGGATAATATCTACACCAGGGATAAAACCCCAGCTTCTACCTTGCAGATGCACATTTTTACTATAAACTAAAATGTCAGTTACTCTCCTAGTGATAGTTTTGCCCTCATTTGGAAGAGACCTATAAGTTAAGTACTTTTCATTTTTATATACTGAAATATTGTATGAACATATTGTGACGAACTCAAACGTTATAAGTCTGTAAATATTTTCTACCTCATCCTTGGCTGATAAAATATGGTGTTTTTCAAAAGTGCTGGGCAACCAGCAGCTCTCATTGACGTAAATAGGGAAAATGAATATAGATGACATAGCATAAGAAGTTATAGAACAATCTAAGTACCAAACATTATTAAAAGAGCTGACCAAAATTTTTTGATGGAACAGTTTTCTGTCAGAAAATGCTGTTTCACTGAAATCAAAACGTTTCATGTGAACATGTGATTTTGATTGAAATTTTTCTATTGAAAATTTAAAGTGATTTGAAATAAACATGGAGTATTTTGTTTTGATTTTCTCATTTTGTGTCATCTTGATTTTTATATTTAATATTT